GACTGGCTGTGGAGCTGGGTACAGGTGGGCTGGCTGAGGGTAGCCAGAACAAAGGGCTGGCGGTGGGAGCGGATGAGCCGGCTGAGGAGCTGGGTAGCCCGGCACAGGGGCCAGAGGTGGCCCATACTGGCTTGGCTGAAAAGGTGGAGGTAAATGTCCCCTTCCTGCGTCAGCAGGTGCACTTCCACCCGCAGGTGGAACAGCACCTAAAGCATCAGCCGGAGGAGGAGGTGGTGAGAAATGTCTTCTTCCTGTTGCAGCAGATGCACCTCCCCCAACCGCATTCACAGCCGGAGGTGGAGCAGTCACTGCAAAAGCCGGAGGAGGAGGAGGAGATGGTGGAGGAGATCGCTGGTGTGATTCCTGTTTTGTTCCTGTGAGTTCAGAAATCTTTGATTGTAAAAACTCATGTTCCGTTTCTCGGTTTTTACCATAGGTTTAAGCATATTTGCATCATTTTTAATCTCCATTTCCAAGTTGGTAATTTTTTTCCCAGCTGAATCTTTTCCTCTACCACTTTATTAGTCTTTGTCAGAGCTGCTGATAGCTGGTTTTGGACTTTGGTTAGTTGTTGTCGAGCATCGCTCAGCTTCTCCTCAGCGTCAGAACCACTTGTTTCACCTTTTTGCTGTTCAGGAAAAGCACACATCTTACCTTGTGTCTCCATATGAGCAGTTACCTCTCTGTCCCAGAGGTGAGCTAACAACACTGTGAACTCCACCAGGGACTCTGTGCAGGCAGCTGATCTAAGAGGTTTACTTGAGATGGGGAGATTTACAACGTTCGTTTGCAATAGTTTCATCAGGTCATCAGCTTGGTGTTCCTGCAAACCTTCAGCGTTCAGCGTTTGCTCAGACAAACTTGACTGTCCTACCACAGACTCCACTGCATCAATCACCTGTCTTCCCAGTGAGAGAAAGGTTAATACCTCTTCTTCAGTCATTTTTTAAAAAATAAAAATGACTTTTTCATATAAATGAATGTAATGAACAGAAAAATCCACCAGATGGTGGCAGAGCGCCATTGGTGGGTACGGGCGGGGTGCTGACGTCATCGTGTGTTGCCCGGATTCTCCCAAAATGGCGGCGGCCGATGACGTCACTGAAAAGTTTTAAACACCAAAAGCGAATAAAACACCGCTAAAACTGCACGAACGAGTTCGGCGTTTTACTCTTAGGCGTAGCGGATTTTGGGACGCAGAAACGCTGCGTCAAAATGGCTTGACAGGTTGTCGGCACGCGTATACCGCTGTCTTACCGGGAAGTTACTAGTTAGCACTGTTATGCTAAACTAGCGCGGGCCTGGAGCGACCAGGTTTTAAAGCCCAAGCAACTAAACGTTCGTGAGCATTGTTGTTATATTCGGACTATAGCCTTTGCACGTTGTGTATGCAGAGATGCTCTTCCGTGTCAGACTATAGTTATTAGTGGTTTAATGCTAGTAAGCTTGACAGGGTTGGTAGTCGGGGGATCAAGGCGGCTACCAAGGGAAGTGGACTTTCAGCGGGGATATTTCTATCTCCTGTTACACAATAAATTGTACACAGTGCCACGTACACTAGAGAAAGAACATGAAAATAAACAGTATTCACCTTACAAGGCAGGGAAAACTCCTTCAGTGCTAGGCCCAAAATGGCCTCTATATGCCACGTCAGCCTTAGGGTGGTTTGAGATGAAACAGCGCCTCCTGTGGAGGATGACTTTAAATGGAGATGCTGCTCTCTAGCGGCTGAATATGAGATCGCCTCGTTTCAAACCAGAGCATCAACTTTTTTTGTTTTAGATGGTTTACAGAGTTTAAAATATGTCTCAAACTTGACACAAAGTGTTTTAAAAATGTATAAATATCTGGCAAAGGCTCGCTATTATGTAATGGAGATTAAGGAGTTACATTTTATTTAATGACCATAGATATTAAAGATCCATATCTAGTATGGGCCCCATCTATGGACACTGGGCTATTTAAATCAGAAGAGTGGTTCTTTTTATTTCAGGGAAATTAAATAAACACTTTGCATGAACTGAGAGACAAGAGAAGAGCGAGAGACCTCCAAACGTTTAAGCAAAATTTAATATCTAAATGATTTTAAACAGTTTAACAATACTTACTCTCTAGTGATGGATGCTCATGGAATGGAATGTGAGGTGGAGTGTGTGTTGGTGCGATGTCAGTTCAGAACCTCCGTTCTGGAGAAGCGAGTCTGAGTGGGAGATGATGTTTTGCTCCTAACTGATCAACGTTTGAACTGTGGTCATAAAACACATGAGACGCTACCTGTGTCGCTCTACATTACCCGTCAGTGAGACTCCCGTACAGATCAGGCTGCCAGGTTCACGACCTTCCACTGGTACTTGAGCAGATGAAACAGCGTAGACAGCACGACAAACCAGTCTTTGGATAGTCTCCAGGTAAAAAGCGACAGGTGTTTCACAGCGTCAAAGGGACCCCCCCTTTGGTTCAGCGATTTCAGCTTTTATTCTGAAGGAACCGTTGTTTTGTTGATAACAACAACAGGATTTCCCAGCTTAGCAGTTCTAGCTTAAAAAGAAAAGTACAGATGGCCAGTCCATACTTCACTTAGCATGCGATGAACTTCAGGGGATCTCAAGATCTCGTTGAATACTGAACTTAAAATGGCGTTTTTCTGTTTTGTTAATCTTGATGTTTACGATTCTGGACGAATCACAGCTGACAGATTAAATAATCACCACAGAGACTCTGCCACGCTTCAGACGTGAAGGTTCTGATTGGATTTGCGACCGGAATGTGTCATGATTATTTATCTTTGTGTATCAGCGTTTCTCGTGGCTAGAATAAGTCATTTACTTATTAAAACATCAATCATAACATTGAGATTTCACAGATCAGTCACATGGTTATAATTGACTAACACTTTGATGGATTACCTTTATTAAAATAGAGTTCTTTGATTAATTAAAAGAAAATAGTTCATTCTTCATTCTTCTGTCTTCATCGCTGGAATGTAAACAGTTTAGAAGCGAATGCATGACCTTGAGGCTGTTTCATGCACACTGACACTGTGTCAAATGGTAACAGCTGTTAGAGGGTAGAAATGGCTCCTTCATCACATTACACTGCTCTTCCAGGCTGTACTGTGAGACCTCTTCAAATGGTCCTGAACACAGCGGTGCATCTGGTCTTCAATCAGCCAAAATGAGCACACGTCACCCCTCTGTTCATTGAGCTCCACTGGCTACCGCTAGCTGCACGTATCAAATTCAAATTGCTAATACTAGCATACAAAGTCTGAGATGGTATGACTACCATCTACCTGAAACCTCTTGCAAAGGCTTACGTCTCGGCCCGGCCACTCCGGTCATCACAGGATTGTCAGCTAGCAGTGCCTACACCACGCTCAGGACAATCCAGACTATTCTCATGCACCGTTCCACAAATGTGGAATGACCTACCAAGCACTACCAGAACAGGGGCTTCCTTTTCAACTTTCAAGAAACTCCTGAAGACCCTGCTCTTCAGAGAGCATCTTCTAAACTAGCACCCTCCCTGCACCAGTCCTCCCTCTCTGCTGTCCACTCCTTGTTCCCTCCTCTCCATGATTCATCATGCTGCCTCACTGCCACCTATGACTGACTGGAAATTGTTGTTATTGTTGTTGTTAACCTCAAGGGCAACATGCCGATTATCACTTGTAAGTCACTTTGGACAAGTGTCTGCTAAACACATAAACATAAACACAAACCTCACCTATTTTAAGATCCATAGAACCCTGTAATATTTTTAATTGGTTACCTATTTAACTCTAAGGTGTTGGAGCAAGAAAATACCTCAAAAATGCTGCATGGTAGCTCCTGTGGACTGGAGTTGGTGACCTCTTGTGTGGATTGTTCAAATAGTGAGACCAGAAAACAACAACAACACATTAGACATGTTCCCTTGATCAAAAAAGAGCCACTGCAGCAACTTAGATGCTCATGCAAGATTTGCCTAATTTAAACACCCAAAAGATTCACCTAACAGTCCTTTTATGTGATGGTGTGGGTGTTTAGTTGTAGCCATTAAGAACCAAAACACTTTTAAAAATTAAAACCTGACTGAAATAAATGCAATAACGTTCAGAAATAAAAAGTAAAATAATGTTTGATAAAATGTCACTGGATGGCAAACTCCAATATGACTCAAGACGTAATGCTGCAGATGCTTGGAATGAGCTGTCACACCAGAGTCACTGCGGGTTTGGACTATGTTCTTGAATGTGAGTAGAACTGAAGAATTTAAACTCCAACAATAAGAAAATTAAAACTTGAAATAAAGGCTACAGAAACTATGTTTGATCTTAAATTGATTTGAAAGAAATAAAAACATTTTAAGTCTGAGAAGTGAATTTACCCACTTCTGAAAATGAGCCAAGGATTTTTAGTCGTTTCAGTTTATTTGCATTTTTTCTTAGTATTTGCATTTCTAAAAAAACAATTGTGCCACAGTAACAAATGGTAAAAAGAAAAGTCTTTCATGTGTGTCTGAGCAAAATAAACTCAAGTAGTTGTATTTTGTATTCCCTGTCCCAAGACTGTAGAGTACAAAAAGTGCTTTCTTCACTATTTTTTGTAATTCATTAATCAAAAGACATACAAACATTTAAAAAAGTTATCATAAGAGATAAAAGATCACAAAAATATTTAAGAATGTTGAATTTATCTCCTTAAAACAAACCTCACGGTTTTGTGGCCTGTCAGGGAGCTGAACTCTGTCCATGGTGCTGAAACACACAATTTCACACCTCACGTGACTTCATTTTTGTAACAGTGCACACGAGCTGGCATTTTCACAACAGATGCGCGTGACTAAACCAGAATGTGTGTTTACATACACAGAACAGAGCTTTGACATGGCTCCTAGATCCTGCCTGCGCTTCAAAATAGAAATCCCAGCTGAAAATTAATGACACGTTTAGAGAGGGAGGAGGGAGGAGAGAGAGGGAATGGGGGCGGAGTCTGATGACTCGGGAGGAGGAGGAGGAGGAGGAGGAGGAGGAGAACGCTACGGGTCCACTCGCTGCTCCTCTCTTTTACAGTCAGTCCTCCCAGCAGTCAGACGCTGCTGGAGTTCCCGCTTCCGTCGTGGACTTTATTTCCTCTATTTGAATCGAAATCGGACACAGACGAACTGTCCCGGGTAGGTGAGCCACCGGTACCGGACTTAGACGGGATTTCATTAGAAACAGAGAATGAAATGAACAGAATTCCGGGTGATGGAGAAAGCAGCTGAGAGCAGAAACAATGCAGCGTGGGGGGAGGCGGTGCTGACGCCGTTAATTGCTTTTTAAATTTGCTGAAAGGGGGGGGAAGTATTTTGGTTTCCATGCCCCATCTGCTGCAGCGACAACTCTCCTGTGTTAATAATCCGCTTAGACAAAGGGACAAGCAGTTTAATAAATGATCACTCCACTCGCTGTTAGCTGTAAACAAAGCTTTGTTTGGGTTTAAACGCTCCTGTCGAACATGTTATAAGTCCCGGTGTGAGATGTGTGCCTTTTAAAGTGCTGAATGCCACTTTTCTCCTCCACTTCACCCCCTCTCCTCCGTGTGTGCGTGTGTGCGTACGTGCGTGCGTGCGTGCGCTTCTCATCAAGCCTTTATCTCTCCCTGCTCTTTCTGCCTGTGCTTTCAGAAGATGCTCTTCCTTCTGCTACCTGTCCTGGCTCTCTTGCTGAGCAGAGAAGCAGCGGTCTCCGGTAACAGTCATGACAAATGGCTGGGCACTGTGGCTCAGTACAACATGGACCGACCCTGGAACAGATTCAGAGATGTGAGTTCCACACAGCTTCATCCTGAAGGGGATGCGTTTTTAGTTTAATTGAATGTGTGTGGATATTTTTTGTGAACGTGTGTGTGCATGTGAGAACATGACGCCCTTGATGCACCCAGTGAGTACTTAAGTTCTTGCCAGCAGGCGTAATCCACCTTGTAGAAACTCAGCAGGTTGGAGACCTGGTTGAGAGCCAGTCAGACTCTTAGACAAACAGCATTACACTACTGCACATGGCAGAATATGTATTGTATAGGCAGACATCTGTCTGAGTTATTCCTCTACACCTGCTTGATTTACCTCAGCAGTATTGACATTCTGACATGTTATCAGTTTGCTGTGTGGAGTTCTTGGCATTACAAGCAAAAGACCAGTGGTTCATGTTTGGTATTTCTGCCTACCACAGTAGATGTTTATATTTCCTCATTTCTCTGTCAGTGTGTCTAGAGATCCCTGATTTATATCGTGGTCAGCATAAGGACCACTTCCCTTCTTATACGTTGTGTTTTCAGAGCTATTACATGATACACATGCAGGTATAGTTTGTGCAGAGGATGATTTGTATTCCTGAAATAGGCAAAGTCTTCCCCGAAGTATAGAAAACCCTAAACCTCAAGTTGTGTGTGTGTGTGTGTGTGTGTGTGTGTGTGTGTGTGTGTTAGTGTGTGTGTGTGTGTGTGTTGTCCATGTGTATACTGAATATTTTATCTATTACTGAATCTATTGTCAAAACTGATTTTCAAGCAAGTCAAAAAGGATGGTGTCAGAAATGTTTTATATTTGGAGAAAAAGTTCTATCTAACAAAAAGTAAGGTAAAAAAATTGACCAGTGGGGTAAGCAAAAGTTGCTTGGTTAGAATTCTTACAAATAACAAATAAATAAGACAAAATAGAAATGTTAGATGTATTCATTAGTATTACCCATTTTTTACTCTAAATGTGATTGCATTTATTTGCTTATTTCAATAAGTGCTGTTTTTGCAGATACATATATATTTTTTTCATTTTAGTAAAAAAAAGATGAAATATCTAAAACAAGTTTTTTTAGTTGGTTGAAAACCAACATTTGCTGTGTTGGAGAGTATTCATAGAGGCAGCAGCTCAGGAGGTAGAGTGGGTTGTCCAGTAATCAGAAGGTTGTAGGATTGATCTCAAATCCCACCAGAGAATTCTGCTGTTGTGTCCTTGGGCAAGACACGTAACCCACCTTGCCTGCTGGTGGTGTTTGGAGGGATCGATGGTGCCTGTGCCTGGCAGCCTCGCCTCCATCAGTGTGCCCCAGGGCAGCTGTGGCTACACTGTAGCTCATCCCCACCAGGGTGTGTGTGAATGAATGAATGATACACTGTAGTGTAAAGCACTCTGGAGTCCTCTAGTTCTGAAAGGCGCTACAGAAGTGCGGGTCATTTATCAAAAAAATTTTTTTTATTACTTTTTGGCTTTCCTTACTTATTTACAAATGTTGGATGAAGAATGTGTGTGTGTGTGTGTGTGTGTGTGTGTGTGTGTGTGTGTGTGTGTGTGTGTGTGTGTGTGTGTGTGTGTGTGTGTGTGTGTGTTTAATTGCTGTTGCACAAATGAGGTTCTTGTGGAATATTTATTATTTCCTGGTTATTAACACATTGAAATTTCCATGGTCTTAATCTTAGAAAAGAAATAGCTTGAACATCTATTTTCTTCAACACTGATGATAATTCCCCTGATGTTCAAATGACTCATAACACGTGCATCATCACAGCAGTATAAGCTGTAACTTGTAACAGTTCTGCATGATGATTTAACGTTTCATATCCTTAAGGTTGTTTGTACGGAACCTAAAGCCTGTCAACCGTGTCAAGAACCTTCTCAGTCCTGCTGATATGAGTCTATCACACCAGCTCTGAGTGACTCTACGCGTTCCTAATGTGGTTTCTTTCATTGAAGAGTGCACGATCTTCATCTCCTCAGCCAGCTCCTGGGGGAACCCCTAAAAGGGTTATCTCGTAGGCTACCTTAAATAATTCACAACCTGAGAATGAATCTGAGCACTCACAGACGTTTATGCATGTCTTAGCGTCGCTGAGGAATTAGGGCATAACTGTGTTCTGTTTTGACTATTCTGAGACAGAAACAGTTCCTCAGAGCCCCCTCTGTGGTGGAGTAACTGAACTTACCGGCTCTGGAGTTATTTTCACACTGATAGTGACAGCAGCGTGGCCATGCTCTTAGTGTTAGGATGCCCCTCTCTGCCTGCTGACATGTTCTCCAGACATTACAGCAGACTGAGGGGTAGCTTTGGCCTTATTAGTGTTGGCCTTCTCTCAGCATAGGAGCTGTGATGTGACAGATGTCCATGACAGTGTACTCCCAGCTTGAGCTCTGCTACCTGAGGTGTGTGTGTGTCTACTGCTCTCTCTTTATGCCGCTCTGTGGTCTCCTGTGCAAATGAAACTTGTTAATGGCAAACTGTCAGTGGTGGATGGAAGAGAACACAGGAGAATATGGAGGACGAGGAGGAGAGAAAATTGCAAAAGATAGGGGGAAAGGCTGTGACGTTTGTGTTTAATGTTTCAGGCATTGCTGCCGCACAAATGCGGGGGCTGCTGTTGTGATTATGTACGTGTGTGAGAGTGTGTGTGTTGTTTGACCTATCGCATAAGGGAACCTGCTGGTTGCAATTTATCTCCTGCAGCAGTGGCTGTTGCTTGCTCCACCGTGTCTCCGGTCTGTCTCCATACTTCTGTGGTGATTTCTCTCATCTTTGACACCTTAATAAAAAGCATTTGTGTATGAATGCGATTCAAACTGCTATAATTCCAGCTGTGGGGATTAGTCATCCTGTAGGGCAGGTGTTTTCGGCGATACTGTGGGGGATGCATGCACGCGCAGATCAGCAGAGACAAGTATGAATGAGTTAATGTTCATTTAGGAATATTTTAATATAACATTTTTATGAATCGCTGATGTTAATGGAAGGATTTTATAAATGTTTTAGTTTTTGTGTAATTTTACACACTTATAAAAACATTCTTGGTTAGCCATGCATGGGTTAAAACTAAGGTGGTGTGGAAGAACTCATAGGTCAACAGTCTCCTCAAAGGTCAGTTTTCTTTTCTTGCCTCAAATAAATTAAAGCTGTCATGATTAAATTACTTTAGTGGGAAGCTGCGATTCAAACTTTAAGTATGAATGTTTATTTCTTAGTTTTATGCCACTCCAATTCCAGACACAGTGGTCTGGGCTAAGCCCTAGAGATGAGGTAAGGATCTCTGACTTGCTGCTCCTCCACACTGAAACGAGTCAGCTGAGGTTGTTTGGGTTTGTGGTTTGGATGCTTCCTAGTTGAGAAAAGACTCTGGGGCAAACCCAGAACTCACTGAAGAGATTAAATATTCTTTTTTTCCTGGGAACACTTTGGGATTAGGATGCTCCAAAATAAAAAGTCTTGGCCGAAACTGGAAACCAAAAATGAGGAAATCAAGGCTGAAAACCGAAACACCAAAAGAACTAATGTCAATAATTAGAACCATAGCATCAGAAGGACTGTAAAATTAACACTTTAATAAGCCACAGCTGCAAATATAATCCCTCATGAAGTTATTACTTCACACCAGCAGATAGCGGAGATGTGTAACTTCAGTCTGAGCAACACTCATGGGTGTTTCTATTGAAATGTTCTGACTTTAGAGGAGATGAGCACTCAGAGGGTGAATATTATTATACATTAGAGAGGAAACTGACTATGCTGACAGGTCTGTTTGTTGTTGATGAAGCTCTTTGTCAGGTAACGGCTGACCCTGATTCTGAAGAGTAATATTCTTCCTCTGATGAAGATACCCACTCAAGAGAAACAAAAAGACGTTGCTGCTGCGCACAGCAACAGACTGTGAGCGTCATGAGGGTAAACATGCATGATCCAAAGGTTATTTTACCATGTTGAGGACATGGTGGGTGTAGAAAGGCGGGTAAAAACATTGCTAATAGTGACAGACCTAGTGGGAATGTACAGTGGTGTGAAAAACTATTTCCCCCTTCCTGATTTCTTATTCTTTTGCATGTTTGTCACACAAAATGTTTCTGATCATCAAACACATTTAACCATTAGTCAAAGATAACACAAGTAAACACAAAATGCAGTTTTGGAATGATGGTTTTTATTATTTAGGGAGAGAACAAAATCCAAACCTACATTGCCCTGTGTGAAAAAGTAATTGCCCCCCTTGTTAAAAAATAACCCAACTGTGGTGTTTCACACCTGAGTTCAATTTCTGTAGCCACCCCCAAGCCTGGTTACTGCCACACCTGTTTCAATCAAGAAATCACTTAAATATGAGCTGCCTGACACAGAGAAGTAGACCAAAAGCACCTCAAAAGCTAGACATCATGCCAAGATCCAAAAAAATTCAAGAACAACTGAGAACAAAAGTCATTGAGATCTATCAGTCTGGTAAAGGTTATAAAGCCATTTCTAAAGCTTTGGGACTCCAGCGAACCACAGTGAGAGCCATTATCCACAAATGGCAGCAACATGGAACAGTGGTGAACCTTCCCAGGAGTGGGCGGACGACCAAAATTACCCCAAGAGCGCAGAGACAACTCATCCGAGAGGTCACTAAAGACCCCAGGACAACTTCTAAAGAACTGCAGGCCTCATTTGCCTCAGTTACGGTCAGTGTTCACGACTCCACCATAAGAAAGAGACTGGGCAGAAATTGCCTGCATGGTAGATTTCCAAGACGCAAACCACTGTTAAGCAAAAAGAACATTTGGGCTCGTCTCAATTTTGCTAAGAAACATCTCAATGATTGCCAAGACTTGTGGGAAAATACCTTGTGGACTGATGAGACAAAAGTTGAACTTTTTGGAAGGCAAATGTCCCGTTACATCTGGCGTAGAAGTAACACAGCATTTCAGACAAAGAACATCATACCAACAGTAAAATATGGTGGTGGTAGTGTGATGGTCTGGGGTTGTTTTGCTGCTTCAGGAACTGGAAAGCTTGCTGTGATAAATGGAACCAT